CAGGAACTCGGGAGGGATTACACGCTTTTTAATCTTGGTTTTTAATGCAAAGAGAGGAAATTGCAGCCGGGTCCGTGCTGAACAGATTGTCCTGAAAAAGCCACAGTCACATCCCAGCCTGGGCACGAGCAGCACCACGGCCCTTCGCACGAACCCCCGGCTGCCTGCGGGGAGCTGGTTAATTGAGATGCAGCCAGTGACAGTCATTTGGGCTCATTAGAGCAGTTTTATCCTTAACGAGGTTGGTTACACCAGATCTGGAGTCAGGCTGGTTCAGCACAGCAAAGCCCAGGCACAGCCCTGGCCCCGAGGAGCAGCTGGGCTGGTTCTCCTGCCAGCTACAAGTATTTCACATGTAATTCACACATTCAATATTATTCCCTTAAAAATAAAGGGAGCAAAGTCCTATGTCAGATGATTTTACAGTCATTTAGAAATTAGAAATCTACAATTTAAATTTAGAAATTTAAATCTACAATTTAAAAAGTTTTCCAGAGAAAAAAAAAAAAACAGGTTTTGCTGTCCACAACAGCTTCGTTCACCAGAGAGATGCTGGGACTTGACTCGCAGTTGCCACCAGGATGTGACACCCCTGTGTCATTGCTGTGCATGGCCAGGAAACAGGCTCAGAATTTGCCAAAAAACAATTAAAAAAATAATAAAAATGAAGCAAAACAACACTCCTGCTTGTGCCACACGGCTCCCAAGGTCCTGGGGTTTCCTCCCCACGGCTGCATTTTGGTGGCACAGCGTGGCGTGGGGAGGGGAGGATGGATCCCTGTAGCCCCTGTAGCTCCCACAAGCCTCTCCATGGGGAAAAAAATAATAAAAAGAAAGAAAAAAAAAGGAAAAAACTTCCCTGTAATTAGATCCAGCTGCTTGATTAAACAGAGGCTAATTTTTGTAATTAACTTTGCACCAGGAAGACATTAGCCTTGCTCCCAGCTGTGGTGGGGTCTGTATCACTTCACCAAAGCCCCGACAGCGTTTACAGCTCCGTAGAGACTTAAAGCACAGTGAGGAGACCCAAGTCCAGCAACAGGCAGCTATTAATACACAAATTCAGCAATTAAACCCAAGAGCTCACTCACTCACTCACTCACTCACTCACTCACTCACTCTCCCATCCTGACACAGCACCCACATGCTCCCACCCAGCGTGGGTGAGGACCAGGCAAGCGCGTGGGGACATCACTCAGGACACCCTAAGCAGCCCCATCACAAGGTTTTTGAGAGTAAAAACATCTCCAGGTGCAGCTGAGCTTCACCGTGGCAGGAGGAACCGGTTGTAGCTCCAGCCCTGGCATGAGCTACGTGTCCCCCCACGCTCTGCCCGTGTCCCCCCACGCTCTGCCCTGGCTGGGAGAGCAGCAATGCAGGGAGGGGAGATGCTGCATTACTCATGGTTAATGTCTGAAACCCCCTAAAAAACCCCAGTATCTCCAGTCCTGACTGTCCTGTCCCTGACTGAAACCAGCTCCAAGGTTTGGACGTGTCCTCAGTGGTTAATGTGCTACAGGAAGTTCACAGGAGTCTTTGGAGAACATCTGGCTTTGCAAAGAGGGGTAACACTGCCCAGTTTTCTCCTTCCTCTTCCTCCTGCTTTCTCTCATCAAGGCACAAGTCTGTCTTGGACAACATGCTCCAACCACAGCTACGAGCACTCTGTGATCACCTCCTTGAAGGCAACGTGACCGGGTGGACCTGCTGCCACCAGCCCCCAGCAGCTTTGGTCCATCTCTGGTACCAGGCAAAAGGCAGCTGCTCCCTTTCCTTTAATCCCATTAAAGCAAAACCAGCCCCGTTTCAGGCTCCCAGGCTCCTCCCTTAAAAAACAGGGCAAAAAAGCAGATAATCCCCACAGAGCCCATGTGGAGAAAGTCATCTTGATGATCCAAGGGCTGGAGCAGCTCTGCTGTGAGGACAGGCTGAGAGAGTTGGGGCTGTTCAGCCTGGAGAAGAGAAGGCTCCAGGGAGATCTTATAGCAGCCTCCCAGTACCTGAAGGGGCTACAAGAAAGCTGGGGAAGGACTTTTCATAAGGGCAGTTAATGACAAAACAAGGGGAAATGGGTTTAAACTGAAGGAGGGGAGGTTTAGATGAGATATTAGGAAGAAGTTCTTCACTGTGAGGGTGGTCAGACACTGGAACAGGTTGCCCAGAGAAGTTGTGGATGCCCCTTCCCTGGAAGTGTTGAAGGCCAGGCTGGATGAGGCCTTGAGCAACCTGGTCTAGTGGAAGGTGTCCCTGCTGATGGCAGGGGGGTTGGGACTGGATGAGCTTTAAGGTCCCTTCCAACCCAAACCATTCTATGATTCTATGATCTCCCTGCAGCCATCCCAGCACCGGGCACCAACCCAGCTGCCACCACCAGAGGAACCTCTGGCTGCAGGAAACCAACTCAACACCACAATTCCTTTGGTCTCAAACACCTTCCTGAACTCTCTGCTCTTATTTTGGAGCCCCAACACCTTCTCCCCACCCTGGGGACTTACGGGTCGAGCTTGTAGACGTACTGGCCCTCGGGCAGGCGCTCCTGGTGGTAGGTGAGGTTGTAGGCCAGCATGGTGCTGATGAGATCTGCCAGCTGCTGCTTCTCCTTCGCACTGTAGAGCTGCGTGTTCACCTGGGGAGGAAAGCAGAGCCCAGCAAGGGGAGAACATCAGTAATCCAGAATGACTTCAACCATCAAAATAACCTGAAGCAGAAGGTTTGTCTCTACAGGAGAAAGGACAGTTAATACTCATAGAATCCTCAAATCATGGAATGTCATGAGTTGGAAGGGACCCACAAGGATCATGGAGTCCAACTCCTGTCCCTGCACAGGACAAGCCCAACATTCACACCATGTCCCTCAGGGCCTTGGCCAAATGCTGCTGGAATCTTGTCAGGCTTGGTGCCATGAGCACCTCCCTGGGGAGCCTGTTCCAGTGCTCCACCACCCTCTGCCTCAAGAACCTTTTCCTCATGGCCAACCTCACCCTCCCCTGCCACATCTTCCTACCATTTCCTCTGCTCCTGGCATTCGTTGGTGGCCAGAGAGAAGAGATCAGCGCCTGCCCCTCCTCTGCCCCTTGGGAGGAAGTTCTAGACCCCCATGAGGTCTACAGATACTCACAAGGTTCAGACCAAGTTTAGTTTTCTCTAAGGGACACACGAACGCCACAGAGAAGGGACAGACCCCTCTGATGGCCCAAGGGTAAATGCACCCAACACAGTCACACATGCAGGTCAACCAGCTGCTGGAAGGAGATTACAACAGCCCCCCAAATCCCTGCTCAGGCCAAGCCCACCCCTGGGTGCAGAGGTCCAGGACACCACCCTGCACATCCACCAGTTGGGAATCCCAGGGATGCAGTGCAGGGGACACGTCCCAGTCCTCAGGGCGGGGGTTGCAGAGGGGACACATCACCCAGGCAGGATTTCTGCCACCGCAGTGAGAGGGGCCTGGTGGCACTCACCGGTCGGAGCTTCGGGGCGATGATGTCCAGCAGCAGACAGAGCACCTCCAGGATGAGAGACTGCTGTCCCATGCGGCTGCGGGCACCGGGTGTTATCCCCGACACCATGGACATGACGAGGTTCTGCATGTGGTTCAGCTTGGCCAGGGCCTGGGTGGAGAGGGCAGGGACAGCTCAGCCATGGCTGCAACCACAGATGTCCCCATGGGTGACAGAGCTGGAGCCACGTTGCCACCATCGCTGGTACTTGCCTCGGGCTGGCTGCTGGGATAAGCGAGCCGGGGGATGCTGGTGGCCGCGAAGAGCAGGTGGAAAGCCACGGGCAGGAAGGGCAGGTACCGCATCAGCTGGAAGCTCTGCTTGTGCAGGACAGCCTGGCTCATAAGATCGGAGAAGCCCAACCACTCCAGGGCCAAGCACACCGAGCTGAAACTGGAGTCCCGCAGCTTCATGTTCAGGAAATTCTCGTGCAGACCCTGGAAGCAGATGCAGGATTAGAGACAGCTCGAGGACAGACAGACAATCACAGAATCACAGCATGGTGGGGTTGGAAGGGAACTCAGAAGATCACCCATCCCAACCCCCCTGCCAAAGCAGGTTCACCCAGAGCAGGTTGCACAGGATGGCATCCAGGTGGGTTTTGAACATCTCCAGAGATGGAGACTCCACAACCTCTCTGGGCAGCCTGTTAATCCCATCAGAGCATCCAACAGAGCCCAACACCCCAACACAACATCCACAACTACCACAGGCACCACTTCCCAAGGCACCCACCAGCCACGACACCCCAGATCAGGAGCTGCCCTTGCTCTGGCCAGCACAGCAGAGGAAGGGACCCAGCTCCTCCCCACCACTCCAGAGATGCTCTACCTGGGCCAGCTTCTCCTGCTCCCCCGAGGACACGGCGAGGTGCAAGATGTGGTGGAAGCGGTGGGAGGGTGTGTTGAGGCCAGCTGTCCCCCTGAGGTGTGACAGGTCCTCATCGCCCATCAGGAGCTGGGCTGGCAAAGAGGGGTCCATTCCTATCCTGTGCCTGGGGGGATCCCAAAGGGAAGAGCTCAGGGTGCAACGGCGCTAAATGGACCAACAAGGAATATTTGGACCCCTGCAAACTGGACTGAAGGCAACACTGATGCCAAATTATTGGACACTAAAGAGAACACCCAAAGAGCATCTGGACACACAAATCAGACAAGCTCTCCAGGACCCCTCAGGTTTCTCCACTGCAGGTCTTGGAATACCACAAAGCAGCATGCCCCAAGCAGACAGCAGACCTAATAAATCCCCACTTTTACCTTTGGACCTTTGGGAGCTGAAAGATGTCTTGCCAGATGGAGAAAAGCCCCTTGTTTTGGTCCTTCAAACCGATCTTCATGGTCTGCACCATCTGCACATTCAGCTCCTTCTGGCCTCGGCCGTGCAGGAACTACAACACAAGAGAGGGGGTGGTGGGGATGGTCACCGTGGGGAGGGAGGGGATGCCCACAACAGCTACCTGGGGCTGGGGGGAGCTGGAGACAGAGGCACCTCACTTTTCATAGAATCATTAAGGTTGGAAAAGATCTTTCAGATCACCAAGTCCAACCATCAACCCAACACCAGCACATTGTAGGAGGACTGAGGTCCAAAATGACATGGGACAGGGTGGGCATTTTAGGGATCTGCCCAGCACACACAGTTTTTTTTCCTCCATCCCCATCTAAGCCCAGATCAAGACAAGAGCCACAGCAAATCCACATCCCCCGGGGACCTCGTGGTGCCACCAGTACCTGCAGGGTGTTGATGCAGGAGCGGATGTCGTTCTCCGTCTTCTCGCAGAGCGCCAGCAGCGCGCCCGTGTCCGCCCGCATGCCCTGCCGCAGGGCGATCTGCAGGAGAGGGGGGTCAGCAGGGAGGGATGGGCGGCCAGGGGGGTGAGAGGAGCCCTGGGCCTCACCACACCTCGCAGAGCCTCTGGGCCAGGCGGGACGGAGCCGTCCGAGGGAAGCTGAGCAGGAAGGATTGCTGCCGCAGCGGGCGCAGGGCAGGGACGTACCTGGTGACAGGAACCACAGGGGTGTCTGAGTGACCTGAGCACAGGAAGAAACCCAGCCACTAATCATGGAATGGTTTTGGTTGGAAAAGCCCTTGAAGATCATCAAGTCCAATCATAAACCCAACACTGACAAGTCCCCGACTAACCCATGTCCCTCAGCACTGTGTCTACACGACTCTTCAATCCCTCCAGGGATGGGGACTCCTGGGCAACCCCTTCCAATGCCTCAGAACCCTTGCAGCAAAGAAATTCTTCCTCACATCCCATCTTAACTGTCCTGGGCACAACTGGAGCCCATTTCCTCTTGTCCTGTCCCTTGGTCCTTGGTTGAACAGACCCACCCCCACCTCTTTCCACCCTCCTCCAAGGGACTTGGACAGAGCCACAAGGTCTCCCCTCAGCCTCCTTTTCTCCAGGCTCAACAAACCCAGTTCCCTCAGCCAGGAACTCATCAGACGTAATGCTCCACCCAAAGAGAGATGGGTTATTTGTATTATTTATTTATATTATAACAAGGGGCAATGGTTATAAACTGGACAAGGGTAGACTGAGCTGAGATCTGAGGGAGAAATTCTTTGGTGTGAGGGTGGTGAGACACTGGCCCAGGATGCCCAGAGAAGCTGTGGCTGCTCCTCCCTGGAAGTGTTGAAGGCCAGGTTGGATGAGACTTTGAGCAACCTGGTCTAGTGGAAGGTGTCCCTGCTCCTGGCAGGGGGGTTGGGACTGGATGAGCTTTAAGGTCCCTCCCAACCCAAACCAGTCTGAGATTCTATGATTTAGCAGCTCTCTGTACACCACTGCACGCCTGGTCACACACACACACAAGTGCACGCTCACACCTAGCAGATGCAAAACCTGGGGGGTTTCAGGAAAGCTGGACGTGCTGTAGTTTTACTTTCCCTATGGTACCTCTAAGCCACGGGTCTGACAGCAGATAACTCAGTGCAGGAAGGATTTGGCTGGAGGCAACAACAACCACCTTCTCACTTGGGGCAGGGGTCTCCTCTCCCCATCCCTCCCCACACACACAGATGACACTAACTGGTCGTTGCAGATGCAGATGATGGGTCTGAGCAGCAGCCCACCCTCGCGCCGCCTCCTCCGGCCCGTGCCAGCCACCGCTTCACCCTCCGCGTCCTTACGGTGGATGATGTTCAGCAGCACGTTGATAGATGCCTTGGGAAAAAGAAAATCAAGGATATAAGGGATGAGTTCTTGCTGTTCAGAGGCAAGAAAGCGCTTCTAAAGTTGTTGAGCTGCTAAGAGAGTGATAATTAAGCAGTTAATGGGAAAGGTGGCCAGATCCAGGCCGGGCTTACCGCGGGCGCGCCGTCTATCTCATCGATGATCAGGCAGTTGGGCTTCTCGTTGGCACCCAGCACAGATTTCATCTGGGTGGCAGCTTCAATGCCGGTTTTGAAAACCTCGGGGCTGCGGTCATCACTGCAAAAGAAATCAGTGCCAGGCTGCTGTGGCATGGCATCACCCCTGGCACGGCATCAC